GGACGGACGGACAGACGGACAGACAGGATGGACGGACGGACGGACAGACAGACAGGATGGACGGACGGACGGACAGGACGGACGGACAGGATAGACGGACAGACAGACAGACAGGATGGACGGACGGACGGACAGGACGGACGGACAGGACGGACGGACAGGATAGACGGACAGACAGACAGACAGGATGGACGGACGGACAGACAGACAGGATGGACGGACGGACGGACGGACGGACAGACAGACAGACATGATGGACGGACGGACGGATAGATAGATAGATAGATATAGTTATATTTATATATATATTTAAAGTGTATAAATACAATATGAATATTAGATGGAAAAACTTATAAATTACAAATGTCTTGGCAATTAACTGAAATAAATAGTAAAAATTAATTTTTTTAATTTATAAATAAAAATTAATTTACATTGAAGTAGCAAAATTACTAAAACTAAAAATGAAATATAAATAAAAAGGCTAAAAAATTAAAAAGCACAGCAAAAAGCACTAAAACTTAAACTAAAATTAAAATGAAAACTGAATATAAAATATATACAGATTAAATATATTTACGTATATTTAAACATTTAAAAAAATAAATAAATAAACGCTAGTTCAAAATATTATTAAATACTATAATATGATGGTGTATAATATTATGAATTATATTAATATTAATAGTATATAAACAATACTATAATAACACTAAATATGACAAGAATGGTCGACTTAATTCTTCTTTGTGAAAAATCTAGTTTAATATTTTTAGTTTGTTTGTTTATTTTGGGATGAATTGTAATTTGGAAGAAATTAAGCTTTAACCTGATAATGAAGTCAGTCAATTATTCCCCCCAAAATGTAAAATGTAATTTTCACTACCTTCATTTCCATCACCCAATGCGATTAAACTCAATACATTACAATTTGAAATGTGGTGGAAATTACACTGGTGCAAATTGTTTTTACTTGAGAGAAAACAAATACTGTATATATGTACATATATTGCTGCACATTACTGTGCAGAAATAAATAAGAGTGTTTTAAGAGTTGTCTTTAGTCCAAAAGTGCCTGTAGTTGAAAAAGCACCAATATTTCCCATGTTAGTCACCGAGGAACACACAACTTAAAATCCAGTTTGAAATACATTACGTAAGTGGAGCAATTTCCCCTCCATGCTCATTGCATATGGCATATATCCACTCCAGATCTTTTATTCTTTCACTCACTGCAGACAGAGAGAACCCCCAGTTGGAGTGAGAGAAAACACAAGCTTTAACCAACTCTTTATTTATGATGTTATAATCAATATCAACCAATCAAATTGATAAACCAGAACTAATTGAGAAATATACATCTATGTAATATGCAATCAGTCATTATTTAATACTACATTATATTGCCTGTTTAAAAGTTTTTTTCTGTTTCTTTTGGAAGCCGTTCATTGATACCAACACAGCTGTCTTCAGCACAGACACAGCCAGACAGTTTCAAGGCAAAAAACACTTCTCATTAATTAACGTTCGATTGGTCTTGATCAATTTCTGGAAGCCAAACAATGTACCCTGAGATGCTGAGGGGTCGTTGAGGAGATCTTTGTTGACTGTGTACCTTATGGATGAAGAGTGTTGTGTAATTGCCTGCAGTGGATGATGTTTAATCTGCTAATAATGTCATTGAGTGATATTAGCAGGAGGTTGTAGTCTAATTAAAATGACAGAGGCCTTTGCACAGTCTGGGGTGAACCTTAACAACACCGTCTGTTCTTACTGGCTGTGTTTACTCCACCGCTCAACTCAGATGCGTGTATGGAGGTTGCCATGGAGAAGCTGCGAATTTGTTGAGTCTGAAAGAGGCTCAGATGAGATTGACCACATAAATGGGGCAAATTAAAGAAATGTTCCGAGCTCAGATGCAAATTATGGTTTATTGACAGCATTTCTGGTATACTGTTGATTACAGTACAACAGAAAATGAGTTTGATTCGTCCCTCAGTCCACCTTATAAAAAAAATTACAGTAGTAATACACTAATTACGTGTGCCGAGTAAAAAAAATATACCCCAAATTCATGTTTATGAGCTAATAGTGTTGATTTAAACTCATTTACTATGTAGGTGAATTGTCAAGAACCTGTCTGAGTTATATTTCATTTAAAATAATACATATTGACATTATAAAATAAATGTCATTGTACTTAGAAAATATAACCTATTTCATCTTTTATTTATTTAAATTATAAAAATATAATTAAATGATATATTTACGTCATGCCAAAATTACATTTTACTCAAAATTAAGCCTGTTTTGAAATTTTTTTTTATTTGTTTATATATTTATTCATTTATTTAAATTTAAAAAAAATTATGATATATTTACATCAAGCCAAGATTACATTTTACTTAATAAAAAAAACGTTTTATATTTATTTGTTTGTTTATTTCTTTATATTTGTATTATTTTATTCGAATTTTAAAATATAATTAAATGATATATTTACATTAAGCCAAGAATACATTTTACTTAAAATAGAAGCTTTTCTTTTGACTACTGAACTAAATATTTATTGTCATTATAATTTTTTTGTTACTTTATTATTAATGTTTTTTTAATTTTATCTAATTAAAAAAAAAAAATAATAATAATAATAATTATCAGCTTGTGTGGTCCGAGACAGTGTTGTTTGTTTGTCTGTTCTGTGTTTATTTTTGAAAAACCCTTAAAATAAAGTATATTAAAAAAAATAGAAGCTTTTAATATTTATTTATTTGTTTATATATTTATTCATTTATTTGAATTATAAAATGTAATTAAATGATACAGTGCATCCGGAAACTCACTTTTTCCACATTTTGTTATGTTACAGCCTTATTCCAAAATGGATTAAATTCATTATTTTCCTCAAAATTCTACAAACAATACCCCATAATGACAACATGAAAGAGGGGACGGACGGACGGACAGACAGACATGATGGACGGACGGACAGACAGACAGGATGGACGAATGGACGGACAGACAGGACTCGAAGGACCTGTCCTATAAAGCTCTCCCAGTGAGATACAGGTGTGTCTCATGCAGGTGGACCAGCCCTTAAATAGCATATGCTTGAAGAGAGAGAGAGAGAGAGAGAGAGATATTACACACTGAGTCTCCACATTAACATATCCTTTATCAGACTGATCATTTATAAACACGTGCTTGGAACTAAGGTTTATGAGAACTTTATTACTGAAATAAATGTTGTTATTAATTAAGGTTTAATCTCACTAAATTTCCACCTGAAATCAAAAGAAATGTAATATATATTTATATACAATTGTATTTTACAATATACATATATTTGTATTTTGATTAAAGAAAATGAAGTGTATTTTAAGATATAATTGTAGGATTTATTGCATTGTTATTTTATTTTCATGACAAATTGATCACATCCCCCCTTTTATCACTGTAATATCTAAATATTAATGAAATTATTTATTTAAACAATAACATATATGACACAATATGATTACAGTTCACGTTATGTGATAATTTTGCAGAGAAATGTTATTGTGGTCACCTTTTCTGGTCAACTTATGATATATAGATCACAATAATATGATAATGTTGATATATAATATTAATGTGAAAAAAATTGTATATCATAATCTATCTATCATAAATCAACCACAAAAAATAGAAAAGTGTGTGTGTGTGTGTTTGTGTGTGTGATATATATATATATATATATATATATATATATATATATATATATATATATATATATATATATATATATATATAATGTATTGTTTTTGCAACATACAGAGCATACAGTATCTCTATACCTCTCACTAAAGCTGTTTTATGTGTCTTTATAGATCCTGGCTAACATCATCATCTTCATCTGTGGAAATGTGGCGGGAGCCTATCACAAACACCTGATGGATCTGGCTCTCAAACAGACCTACCACGACACCTGCAACTGCATCAAGTCTCCCATCAAACTGGAATTCGAGAAACATCAGCAGGTATGACCGAGAGGGATGCACTGATTGCCTGTTGCTTTCAAAGAACAGATAAACAGCGCTGAACTGCGTGGTGCCCGGTCCTTCAGGGAACAGGAAGTTAATGTAGGCCTCGTTTGGGGAGGTATCGGATAGGCTTGAGCGTGAGTCATTCCTGCAGCTGTATCGAAGAGATCATTATATCACCACAATAGGTGGCTAATATCCTAAGGCAGAGGGGGTCGAGAGTTGCATTGTCCCAAAATAGCTTTGTTTCCCCCCAGCGCTCTGTTTCCTGTTGGATACGGGTGGGGCGGAAGTCTGTTCAAGGCCTCTCGCTTGCCTGGGTTAGTTGTGCTTATTGCTGTTTTGTGTGAAATAATGATAAAGGGTCTCTCCGTGGTGATGGCTGAGTGAGTGAAATATGAGCGGTGAGATAAAGGCAGATCACTGGCGGCACTTCTGCTCCATCAGGAATTATCACTCTCACTTGGTGAAATATCATCCTGCTCCAGCACATGCCTTCAGCTCCATTAATCTATGAATGTTATCAGAGTTGGGGGGTTTTTTGGCTTTCCTGGCAGAACAATTACGGAGCACAAGGCAAAGACAATGTTTCGCTCACTCACTGCCCGTGATTGAATCGTGTATGTATGTTCTGTAAGTGCTTCAGCTGTCGGCTCTTGCCATATTGTAGAACATACTGGCACGTTTCCTTTACCTCATTTACCTCCTGCAGAGCTGCGCATTGGCTGGTCATTCCAATCTAGGGCTGGGCGATATGACGATATTATCGTATATCGACGATGTCTCGTAAATATCGCGATGTCGATGTCAACAGTCAGGTAACAGACAATTATCGACACTATCAGAAAAAAAATGTCAAATGATAAACCTAGTAAGTTGCAAAAAAAGATTTTACATAGCCCCATAGTCACCATACTGGTCTTTTTGCATGCAAGAATGAAATAATTTAATAGGAGGGTTAGGAATCGAAAAGCTATTCCAATTTCGGAAAATCAGATCAGATGCGTAAGTTCAGGAATCAAATTACTTGTTATAAAATTGCATTTCGATTCTGCTTCTCGATTTCTGTATGCGCATTTATTGTGATTTCAAAAGATTCAACTGCAAGAAGACAAAATAGAAGTCGCTTCTGCACTCGCGCTCTGTTTTCTGTGCTGCGCACACACAAAAGCTGTCTCTTAAATACGCGAACAGTGGACTGAGCTCTCTTTCTCGCATTCTTACACATTTGAATGGACAAATACACACAGAATTATATCAAAATATCCCATAAATACAATCGGTTATGTCTTAAGTGAATGTAAAGAGTTGAGAAAGAAAACAAGGGTGTATTGGATCCGTGCATTGACAGCAGCCACTGCCGCCAGTCATTAATGTTAATCAAAGAACAAAAGAAAAGACAATCCCTCACTGATCTTGACTGAATCTCTTTTGTAACCTCAGTTTATAATTTATTTGCCTGTTGTTCGGCGCTGACTACTGTAATGGCAACGTGCATCTGTGTATGCGATTATTTTGGAGATGCTATAATTTATCCTTATTTAGGGTATAGGCCTATTCTATTTTGATCTGCAGTTTAATAAAAGTTAAACAGAAAAAAAGACAAAAAGTGCACTGCATGTGTTTCTGAATATTTATTTAAACAGACTGTATAATGATGAAAAACCACAAACTTGACGGGTATAATTAAAATACGCAAATTACTTCAGTGCACATTTTAGTGCAATAATTTTACAGATTCTTTAAAGGGGTCATATGATGTTGCTAAAAAGAACATTATTTTGTGTATTTGGTGTAATGAAATATGTTTATGCGGTTTAAGGTTCAAAAAACACATTATTTTCCACATACTGTACATTATTGTTTCTCCTCTACGCCCCGCCTTTCTGAAACGCGTCGATTTTTACAAAGCTCATCAGTCTGAAAAGCGAGGTGTGCTCTGATTGGCCAGCTATCCAGTGTGTTGTGATTGGCCGAATACCTCAAGCGTGTGACGGAAATGTTACGCCCTTTACCGTACTGTGATGCCCTGTCCGGCCGGAGCGACGAGACAAAAACATTAAAGCCCATTATAAACTAGGCATTTGTTACATTATTGGATTATAATGACTTACAGTATACTGTATTTTTACGCGTTGCATTGCGCCGCGTAAACATAAAACCATGTCTGCATTTGTGATCGGAGAAATGACAAACAACAAGCGCTACTCTACTGTAGCGACTCAGCTCATGGGGAAATATGAATAATTAATCATAACTAGCTATAATTAATTATAAATATTTAGATCCACTGTAGATATTTAGCTGACTTCTCAGGGTCACCTGTCTGTCAATTCTAAGAATGTTAATTCCCTGGTTAAGGGAAATAACTTTATTACTGTACAATTCTACAAAGAGCTTGTAGCATAAATCTGCATGATTAAGTGACTCCCAAAAAGAAAGGAAAATTTGAAATCGCATCATATGACCCCTTTAAACCGTGTATACCATATAATTGTTTAATTAAGCTGAGATATAGCACTATAAATTCTTAATTAATTTGCAACAAAACTATAAAGTTTTGTTGCAAACGGATGAAGACATTACAGTACTATATCTCAGTTTGCCCCTCAACATGCACGCGTTCAGAGTTTTGGCAGCCCAACACTGAATATATTGCTGACGTTGTATTTTGATTAATAAAATAAAAATTATAAAAATTACAATACAAAAATGTAATTTAAATTACCCTGCTTCTAAGTAAATAAAGCAGTTATTTTTATTTCGTTAAAAACGTCCCAAAAGAGACATCCGAACTCCGGCTTCCAGAAAGGGAAAAAAAACTCTTAAGAATTAGTTTTTAATCCCTGCATGATTTTAGTCATACATGATAAATATCAAATACGTTATAGCTTGACTACAAGTTCAAAAACAACGCTGCAATTGTTATAATTAAGGAAATTAAACTTACCATCATGAAATGTGTCTACACAGGTGATAATGCCAAAAAGAAAGAGAAACATTAGAAAGCAGGCATATTTTATTCAAGACATTACTATATGACATCAACATGCATTTTTCATTCTTACAATCACCGCCAGAATGTCCAACTTCACCATGATGAACTTAAAATTGGGTTCTATTATTTTTCCTCAGCAGTTCTCCTCACAAAACGAAATTCATTTTAAACACAAATTTGATAAGAGCAGAGTGGAAATTATTAGCAACACCAAAATAACAGCAAAGCTAATGTTTTGTTAGTTTAATCACAAAGAAAAGTAAAACCAAACTTTGTGGCAATAATTAAGACCAAACTGAACATGGTGTGTGTTTAAGGTGCATGTCAGCAATGTTGTCTCGGCGGGGGGGGGGCATGGTGGGTGGAGGGGGGGCTTAGGTAGACGATATTATCAGATATCGCGATATTTTTAAAGGCGATTATCGATAAGATATTTTTGACCTATTGCCCAACCCTATTCCAATCAGAACATTAGTTCAGCACAGACCATCAGCCTAATTACGGATACGCCTCATTTTACATTTCAAGGGTGAGTAAAACATTACCTTTAAAATATATTTTGTAATGAAAAGAGTTCAGGTTTTAAAAAGCACAGCACAGGATTTGCAAACCCCTAAACCGAATTGTTACTCTGTGTTATGAATGAGACCGCAAATATTTACTTTTAAATATATAGACTCTTCAAAATATTTTTTTATGTTTTTGACAGAAGTCTCTTATGCTCACAAATGCAGCATTTGTTTGATTAAAAATACAGTAAAAACAGTTGATTTCTATTTGAATATATTTTAAAATGCAATTTATTCCTGTGATGCAAAGCTGAATTTTCAGCATCGTCACACCAGTCTTCAGTGTCACATGATCCTTCAGAAATCATTCTAATATGCTGATTTGCTGCTCAAGAAGCATTTCTGAAAACAGTTGTGCTGATTAATATGTTTTGTAAACCAGTTTTGCATTTGCATTTTTCAGGATTTCTTGCTGAATAGAAAACTCAAAAGAACAGCATTTATTTGAAATAAAAATATTTTCCAAAATGTTGCTAGGCACAAGGCACGGTATGTGTTCAACATCATCATGCCGAATCTGGGTCTGATCTGATTTCAGTTTTCTGACTCGTTTTGGCTATATGGTTATTGCCATACCAATTCATTTGAGTGTGTATTATTGTGTATGTGTATGTGTGTGTGTGTGTGTGTGTGTGTGTGTGTGTTTCTCCGAATTTTTGTGTTTTTGTTGATTTCCCACTCATTTCCTATGGTCGGTCATTTTCGGACTATTTTGTTTTACGACCACTTAGCCTGCTCGAATCATGCCCTCAATTTTTTTTGTGTTCACATTCCAAATGCCATAAAAATCACCAAGTTTCGAACCATTGCGATGAAGCTGTTATTATTTAAAATTCAAAACAGAAAATATTTCGGTCAAAAGTGACCGAAGAGCACCAGAGGGTTATGGTTTAAGTTTATGGCCCACCTAACTCGGAAACTGGAGTATCAAAATAATCTTTGAGTAGTAAATACGACTTGAGAAGCCGTTCATGTCCAATTTCTGATTAGGAAACTCGTATTTCGGATAATTCCGATAGCACGTGAAGCCAGCATAAGCGCAATATGAGTGCAGGCCAGCGGGGGAGGGGGGACAATCGCGCTCGGGCTTGGTTCAAGACAACCGTGACTAGTACACCCTAAAACTCACAGAGTACTCCCTAGCAACCCCACAACAACACCCTGGTCATTTCTTCAGATTACATAATGTATGTCTAAGTGATGTATGTGAAATCTAGTCCTCAATGTGGTTTTGGTGATATTTTATGACTTACAATTGGATAAGATATCCAAACAGAACATCATATTTAGCAAATTAATATTTCTGCACTTTAACAGAGCAATAATCATGCCCATTTATACTCTAGACAAAGGACCACAAAATGGACTAATGACATAATTTCCTTTAGCAATCACTCTGTCAGACCACAGCACATGCACCCATTAGAGTG